GACCGTTTATCTCTCGTCGGTCCTTCTTATCATCACGTGACTTGTACTATAGTTCTTCCGTTCCGAGTGAGTCCCTGTTGTTCCCGTGATCCTGCAGTACAAATGTCCTGTCCTAGCCGCCCGACGCCCAAGTGGGTCGGTTAACTATTATCCATGCATAACGGGTCGTAACAGACAACTGCTGACAAACCGTGTATTTTGACTGGGCTTTATCACCATATCCGTGTAGACCAAAGCCGGCGCATACGACCATAGCAAGATGATAAAATACAAGCTAAGGCAATGATTCTTCAAACTTATTTCTGTTCCAACAGCCACTTCACGCCCTTGACTGTGTCCTCGACAAACTGCTTGCTCTTCTCAAGGTGCGGAAAATTCGTCCAGAAATAGTGCGGAACACCAGTGTAGATGTCCAGCTTGGTCTTCACACCAGCCTCTTCCCTCAGTACCCGCTCATAAATGAGGCCTTCGTCTCTCAAGGGGTCCAGGCCGGCAATCTGGAAATACGCAGGCGGCAAGCCCTTGTGGCCTTCACCAATCTTTCCATTGTGAAAAGGCACGAAGAGGGGACTCTCCATGTCTGGCTTGAGAACAAGTTGGAGACCGGCAGCCGCGTCTTTAGCATCGCCAATGATTGGGTCTTTGCTTGGTGTCACACCAGGGTGACTGAGATACTCGGCGCGATACTTCTCCGGAACGTCCTCGGGGGGTAGGAAGCACATAATTGCTGGAACGCAAAGGTACTGGCCGGTGACCGGGGGCGAAAGTTTGTTCTCTCGAGCAAGGTGGGCGAGGACAGCTGCGATATTGCCGCCAGCGGAGCCTCCACCGATGATGAACCCACGAGAAGGGTCTGCGCCGAGTTCTGATGCGTTCTTCGCGCACTAGATTCCCAACATGTCAATGGGCGGCAAAGGTAACGAGGGATATGGTCTGACTGACCCACTGGAGCGCATCCCAGGAATCGTTGATACCCGTGGGAAACATGAATTCAGGTGCAAGTCTAAGTTTCATGAGTCTTTGGTCGTTCCGACTTACCAAAGAGCTTACCTGTATTCAACGTTGACACAAACAGCCCCAAGGTCACGACTGAACAGACGGCAGTTGACCTCCTCATCCGTCAGGTCACCCTGCGACCAGCCTCCCTCATGGTACATGACAATGAGAGGGCTTCCTTCCTCGGGAGCCTTCACCGGCGTGTAGATGCGAATCGTAATCTCATGGCCATCCCTGACCTTGATCTTGCGATCCTCCTCACGGACCCGTTCGGGAATAGGGCCAGGAAGGTAACGCAAGTGATGCTTCTCGCGCAGATGCGTGGCTCTGTGTTCTCGCAATGCGAAGAAATCGGCTCGACCATAGTACGGATCACTCGGCTGTGGTCCGCGTACCGGACGAGCCGCAAGCTCCTGATCATGTATGGTTAGCACCGTACGGGTCATGCAAGGCAGCAGCTTACAGCTTCAAAGTCCGGATCAGGGACGCCGTATGCAAGTAACTCTTCACGGGTTCGGGGCGCCATATTGTGATTCAGTGGAATTGATTGGTCCGGCAATATGATTGAGGTTGTTCATAGAAAGATGTACACCAAGGGCAGATGGGTGTGCGGGGTTGTGATCGGAGAAAGCGGCGTCTTTGTACCTCCCGACTGATGACGTTAGTTGCTCAGTGGCGATTATCTAATCACACATGCGCTTCATTAAATCAAACGTCAAGGCCAGCTGACGTGAGACAGTTAAATGTAGAGATTAGACGATTAAATTGAAAAAGAGGCTTGAGTTGCCGGTTCAGTGGAGACTCGGTTTGTGGCGAATATGCAAGTTCATCTCAATTTAGTAGGTTGCAGAAAGCTTGGGCAGAGTATTCGGAGATGGCTTCAACCTGGAGGCATTTGGAGGAGGCTCCCACTTAATGACCGTAACTTTTCGAGGTGTAGCTAAATCACTCGGAAAAGGTGGCACACCATGAAAATGATTTCTGCATAGATTGCTGATGAGGATGAATCACTCCAGTTAGTGGACGGCCCTAGATGCTGTTTTGATCCGATCTCTCCAGCATTCAAGGGATCGCTGAATCACCTTTCAAGCGAGGAAGGAGTATATACCACAATCTTTTCTCTGCAGCTCCTTCTACCTCCTGCAGACTACAATCCAACCTGAACCAGACCCAAAGACCAACCCTGACGACGACGAAAGATGACGACGCCAAACACCGACATGATACTTGCCATGCAAGACCCCTACATGCAGCAAATCATCGACGGCGACAAGACCTACGAGTTCCGAAAGTACAACATGGAAGGCATCAAGAGAATCTGGTTCTACAGAACCGCCCCTCACTCCGCCATTACCCACGTGTGCGAGGTGTCTCCCGCCAAAACCCGCAACCCCGGCGACCAGCCCATCCCTGAGAACGGTCTGGGCAACAAAGAATTCAATGACAGAAGTCCGGACTGGGACGGCTACGACTTCGCCTACCGCATCAACTCCGTCTACCAGATCAACACCCCAGATGGCCAGGGCATCAAGTGGCCCCAGATGAGAGATGAGCACGGAATGAAGATATACCCCCGTGGTCGCGTCAGACTGCCGGTTTCCATTGCAGAGCAGTACCCCTGGCGCCAGCAGACCAAAATTCGCTGAGAGATGGTTGTGGGGACGGTGAATGGGGACGAATGACGACGAAGAAGATGAAGGGCGATGAAGGACGAGAACGAACGAAGGAGACCGAGTATGAAGGCTTATGACGAGAGGATTCAATGAGGTCTATTTCATTATTCCACCGATTGCCTAACCATCTGCTGCATTTGTGAAAAAGACTCGTCGTGATCTCACTGCCGGTGTCTGATCCACCTCTCCTTCAAAGCCAAACCCATAATGAGCTTCCGCCGTCTTCGACTCGCGAGAGCCATTGCCGTAAGCTTCTTCCCTTTCGGAAATTCTCAGTTTCCCATAGCCAAGCTTCTGTCGCTTCAAGTCGTTGGAAAGATTTCCGCAGTCCCTTTCTGGTCCACCCCAATTCACTTGATTCAGGGATTTTGCCCTCGTTGCCGCCAAAATGGTCGAGAACCGCGTGTTTCTCGAGACTCCACCATTTTGCTGCAGTGCTAATCTCCCAGCCGCGACTCCAAGAGCTGCAAGGAAGATTGCCACACTATACACAGACAAAAGCACATACGCCCGATAGTAGTAGAAGCTCCCGTCGCGCGACCTTTGACAAGGATGAAGTACGTGGCCGTCACGAAGCCCAGTTTGCTCATGCGTATCACCCGCCCAAACAACCACGGCAAAGGTCGGGTTGCCAAGTATTGATAACAGGATCATCTCGTAGTAGTCTTGGATTCTTGACGCCAGGTCAGGCAGAGGGAAAAGAGTTCCGGGATCCACTAGAGTCGTTCGGACAGCCTGAGTATCAGCAGCACTGGAGAAAATTGTGCCGTTGATCATTGATCGAAAGACTGCGCCTAGTGAATGATAAGCTGCTGTACGTCGATACCATTCTACATCCGTTGGGTATATGGAGTTGCTTTGCGGTGTTGCGGTGGTGTTATCCATCGTGCCGTCGTCTGCGTCTTCTCCATCCGCGAATTCGGTATCAATAACCGGTACCAGACATATGCGACCGGTGAAATTATAGCGAGGCTCCATATCCTCATAACTGATGTTCAACTTATACTCTGTATCGTAGAGTTCACACATCTGCAGCACAGGTTGTAATAACTCTCTGTTTAGTGTGTTGTTCTCGGTGTCCAGGAAAGGTGACTTTGGATAGGCCTTATTTTCTGAATATCCTATCCAAATAACGGGCTCTGTTCGAAAGACTCCAAGGTTTCGGGGAAATGGCGGCTACATCCTAGGAATGCCCCCCGGGTTGAGATTGGATAACTGCTGCGTTGCGTACTCCCCACGGTACGCACTTGCTATGTAGGTGTAATCACCTGTCGGGGCAAGATCTTCGTATGGAAACCAAGCAGAGGGACCACTGCTGTTTTGGGCCCCAACGCCTCTAGCAAGTTCGGTACATTTGTACCCAGGGGCGCGGAAATCAATTGTTGTTGTGCAGTTCCAGTCTTTCATGCAGAACTTAACCTTGTCCGTGGGATCGACGAACGGCGCCCCTGAATCAGTTGATTTGTCGACTAGTTCTTTAAGCTGTTCACTGGGGCTGTGCCAATAGTCGAAAAAGTGAGATGCCGAAGTTTCAGAGCTTGTGGTGTTCCAAAGACTGAAAGATATCTCCAATTTGCCGTCAATCTTCTTTTCGTTACGCCAGTCGTTCTGCTCAAGCGCGAAGTTCAGGCTCCGTATTCCAGTGCACATCGTGTTCTCCACTTGCTTTCGGGGCTCTACAAGTAATGTACTTGTGGTAAGGATAATAATCAGCGGAGATGCCCTAGGTTATCAGTTTATTAGCGTACAGCAGGATATATAAGCAGAGTGGTGGCCACTTACCACCCATAAATAGACAGGATTGATGCAAGCCTTGCGCTGCGAAGAAATTCCCAATTCAGTAAAGAGAATGGTGTTTCCGGCGCAGAAAACAAATCATCGAGAGTTTCGATTCCCAAGGAGCGCGATCGAACCGTAGCCCACACCTGTTCGCGGAATGCAGATAGGACAGCAGCAGCAAGACTCGCCTTCGCAGCGAAGGCCATGGCTGTTCCGTAGCGAAGCATGATCTGCTGGTCATCTCCGTACACAGATTTTCCATCAAGTGACCAGTAGAAGAAATGGTGTCCGATGGCAAAGCTTAGGCCTACGCACCACAAGATGTACATGTTGCGCGGCGGTTTCCATAACTCTTGAATCCGAAGGAACTCGAATTGCGTCCAAGTGTTTCCCTCCAAAAGCTTTGTTCTCGGACCTTCGTGGTCGCAGGCCAGCATGGGGCGGTCTGAACAGGCTACCTCCTCGCGTGAACTGTCATGTTGTTGGACTTCTGTGACGTCCACTCCGTTCATGCTCGCTGTTTTTGGAGTTCCCTTGTCGATTTCATGACCTGGACTCGAAGAGACTTCGGTCATTTCCAGCCCAAAGATAGGGCCTTTGTCAGATCCCATTTTTCACACAAGAGAAGAGAATAAGGATTTTCGAGCAGATTTCTTCTTAAGCCCCAAAGTAATTCTCTTCGCAAAAAGTGGCAATGGCGGCGGTAAAGTACTCTTTGAAAATCAGGCTGAGCTACGAAGAGTTCGACAACATGGTTGCATCGGACCATGCGCCAAGAGCGCCAGTCAGCAGTAATATCTCTAACGGGAATCTCATTCGTCGCCGACGCTTGTTATCCCAAAATAACTCTTCGTCAAATCTCAGGAGAAAGATACGAGCCGGTTTATGTGCGAGTTGACATGCAGGTGGCGAGCCTCTTGGCACATCGTTTGACCCCTCACGGCTGGGAAGTCACTGACAGATCAGCTCAACCGCAACCTGATCTTGCCCAATGCTATCCTTCATAACTAGCATCACAGGAACAGTGATCGATTTACCTTGCTGTCGATGGGCTATGCAGCAGGCTATCGACGAGGTGTTTCTTCAGATACATAGGAGTGCCCCTTTTGTTTCATCGGCAAGCTTAGCCCTCCACAGCCTGTTCTCATTGAGGATAAAAAGCTCCCCATTACGGCCGAAGCAGAAGTTGGCAGCGCCCCCCTGGATGAGAATCTTACCCAGCAAGACACCCCCTGCCGACCAAATGTTGATACCATCACCGCAGCCACTGTACACATTTCCGTGAACATCGCACTTGATGCCATCCGGTATTCCAGTGTCAGCCATCGCAAACAGCCGCCTATTGGTCAAGAATGGCTGTCCAGAGTACGACACTAGGTCAAAAGCGTATCTATTCAACAATCAGCAACATACTCTCAGAAGATGATTCAAATCGACTCACATCGTCGAAGGTCTCGTGAGATCTGTCGTTCCATCTCCATGAATCCAGTCCGTGTCCGTCACATACACAGTCTTCTCATCAGGACTGAAGCAAATTCCATTCGGTCTCCCGAATCCGTCTGCCATGGCCCTAATGGACCCCCTGATCGGGTCAAACCTGTACACCTGGTTCGGCAACTTCGGCCGCGGCCTGATGCCCTGCTCATACCCATAGATCGGGTCGGTGAACCAGATGGACCCGTCACTGTGCACCACCACATCGTTGACAGAGTTGAACTCCCGGCCGTGGAACGAGCTCACCAGCAACCGCGTCTGATACGGCGGCTGCGCCTCCATGAAGACGATACCGCCCGGCGAGTCCAGCGACCCCTGCGAGCAGAAGATGACGCCGTCGAGGTAGTTCACGCCGCCGTTGGCCATGTACACGCCCTCAGGCGCGATCTCCTCGCACTTGACCTTGGCGGCCGCGAAGTCCGCGGGCAGCGTGACGCGACATACCTGGATCTTCTTGCCGCCCTTGTCGTCGGGGAACTGGTTGCTCGTGATGAAGAGCGTGTTGTCGCGCTCGATGAAGACGCCCGCCTCGTGCGCGAAGGGGTAGTCCTGGTTCTCGTGCAGGAGCTCCAGCGTCGGGTCCGCGCCGAACAGCTTCTTCACGGAGTCGTCGTAGACGGCAAAAGCGGATGCGTTCGTCATGGTTCAAGATAGCTTAATTGTCCAATCGAATAGTAAGCCCGAAGAGACTATGGAAAAGTATGCCAAGGATTGAGGACGCAATGAATGGACGAACCAAGGGAAACTAGACCTGCCTGACAAGAGGAATGAGGGGAGCTCGGATATCAAGGCACGTTGCCCCGGGTTGGAGCTAATGCGGGGCATGCACCTCCTCAGCTGTCGATGTCACAGGTTTACACTTTATGGGTCCGGGCCAGCAAAGAAATGGCTCAGAAGCAGGGGTTTTGTTAGTGTGGGATGACTCGGGCTTTTGCTGCTGGTGGGCGCCGAAACATATGCAAAGTCTAAGCTGATCGATCACGCAGTCATCTGTGCGATGTGCATCTACCGAGGTGAAACGAAGGGATAGATCTTTTTGAACGGCTGCCAAACTCTACGAACGCTATCTTTTTCTTTCGTGCAGCAATCTGGCTTTGAATACATGACTCGTGCTTGTTCAATCTGTCTTATTGGCTACTCATGCCCTAACCTCCTCAACATCCCACACCTCCTGCTTCTCGCTAGTGTCGTGACGGTTCAAGTCAACGAAGCTATCTCCTGAGAAGAGACGGTCTACATCTTCCAGCTCCAAACCCTTGGTTTCGGGGAAGAAAAGATAGATAATTGGTACCCAGGTAGCGTTAAGAACAGCAAAAATGATGTAGGTTCTCCAACCAATGTTGGAGATTGCAATTGGGGTGATTTGGACGACCATCTAATGCTTGTTAGTGGTTTACGCTTAATCTCAGACCTTTCTTCAACTCACGTAATTGAAGATCCAATTGACTCCACTGGAAACTGAGGAGCCAAGTTGGCGAATCCTAAGGGGCAGAATCTCGGATCTGAGAGACGTTAGCTGAATATTCTCTTGAAAACATCAAATTACTTACGGGTAAACCCAGACGGTTGCCTGGAATCCAATGGTGAAAGCTCCCTGGAACACAAAAAGCATTGCGGCTGCACCAATGCCTGCCGACTTCGCAATGGCTGTGGCGTTCTGAACCTGGTAGATGAGGCCGGCTTGTACTGCCATCACCGCAGCCATCACGCTGATCATAGACAACAACTGTGGGCTTTGTTAGTTACCGGGCGATATCACAGCATTTAATGATGACGTACCAGAGGTCTTCTACCGATCCTGTCAATCAACAGCCAGGGAATAAACGAGGCTACAAAGAACCAAGTCTGCAGGAATCCAGACATGAGACTCGACATGTGGTTATCAAATCCAATGCTCTTCTCGAAGAGAGTACTGCTGTAGTCTAACCACCGAATATTAGCAATGATCACTCCCCAAACCCATTACACTCACAGATGATTGCGTTGATTCCGCCAAGCTGCTGGAACCCTTGGATGGCGCAAGCAATCAAGAACCTCCTCTGGCTCTTGATGCGATCGTTCACAAACAGGTCCCTCCAAGACCCGGCGCTAACCGACTGTTCGTACGCCACCGTCTGCATGATCGAATTATGAAGGACTCTGATCGATTCTTCGTCTTCGTCCCACTTGAGCCGTCTTAGAACAGCGAGACACTCATCCGGGCGGTCGTGCGAGGCCAGCCAGCGAGGTGTCTCGGGGATGATCTTGAGAATCGCAAACATGGGAAGAATGCAGACGCATTGCAGAGCAACGGGAACTCTCCAGGCGTAACTCTCAATATGGGAGGAGAAAGCGTAGTCGATCCAGTAGATGAGGAAGATGCCGAAGTTGAGTGTTGACAGCTGCGCGCAGACGTCTGCACGATTTCCGTTAGAGTGATCGATGGCGATGGGGATTTGAAAACTTACAAATTCCACGACTGGACTTTGGGCTGAACTCGGCTTGCAAAACTGGGACGGTTGAGTTGACGATGCCCATGCCGATGCCAGAGACGATTCTTCCGACGATCATTTGCGTGCGGCCGAAAGATGCAGCCTGGACGATGGCACCGACGACCATGACTGCGGCACCGGATCCGATCGTTCTGCGACGACCGAATTTCTCACCGAAGAAAGCGGTGGCAACACAACCGAGGAAGCAACCAACTATTGCAGCATTTAGTATGATGATCTGGAGGGGCCACAAAGAGCGTCATACTTTCGTAGATAGCGACGATGAGGCCGGTCATAGTCGGGTCAGGAGAGTCGAATGTTTTGTTGAACGCCGGAGCCGTTACTGCACAAATCACCAGTCAGCCAAGACATCCTTTTACAAGACAGAAGGCAGCAATCCTCACCCAGTCCTCCCATGAGTCCATTGTCATAACCAATGAGCATGAACCCCAAGGAGGTCAACACGCTCACGGTCAAAACCAGCGCCTGTCCACGAAGTTCTCCCATACTGTCGTCGTCGTCTTAGTCGTCTGTGTCGATGAAGCCTTCACGATTCAGTGTTGTCCAGCACGCCGCTCACAGTTCCGGGGAGCAGATGTCTGATGCTTCTGGCACCTGCCGAAAACTATCGTCCGAACGCCTGGAGCCGAACGCTTATATGTGCAAGGTGTGAGTGTGTGGATGGGCAAAGATGGTGACGCGCAGCAGTGATGCCAGATTTTGTTGCACCGAGAGCCATCGTCTTGGATCGACGAGCCAGGCGGCAGAACCACTTCCCCGGGAATCCACTCGCAGCACCAACAAAGCATATCTGCGGGGTCTGGGGTGAGTGAGCTGGCCTGGGGACGGCATAGATTGAAACGCGTTACTGCTGGCAATTGAATTACTAGGTTATCCAAACCATCAGACGGCGAGCCCGACGCGGCAATAACCGACAGAGGGACGTCCTCTGCCAGGGCTCGGCTACTGAAAGTCTGAAAGAGGACAAGAGGCTGCGGCAATTGAGTCAGTGGTTTTGATTGGCTTCCCACATCAGTCGCGGTGATGCAGCCATCGTGACATGTTTGGACCCTCCGCAATTGATTGCAGCTCCAAGGTTTGCGAGGTCAGGAGACGAGTGCTGCGTCCCCATGGGGACGATGAGCCCACAAACACCGACGATTGTCGCGAAGGCGCCCGCAATGGCGCCAGACAACGATCTCCATCGCTCCTTTTGGGAGAATCGGGCAAGTTTGAAAGCTGTCATGTGCAGCCATGACTTTTACGGACCAACCAGTAATTATGGCATGACGACTCAAGCTCCTGCAGGTGAGGTACTCCATCAAAATCCACCCCGATAGCGGCGGCAATTGCACCGTCGGCAATTCGGCCCTCGGTGTTTGTCCCGCGCTGCCTCCAACCCCTCATTAGCCGTTGCTCTCATGTTCAACATTGAAGACCATCTCACATAAACAGACGGCAAGTGAAGATACCCTGGCTTTGGTAGAGTACAGCAACAAGTCGACTAACTACCCTTTAAGACGATAGCCCGTGCTCCTTTCGACGACTTGCATACGAACAAGAGCTCTAGACAAGGGGTATGATAGATTTCCAAAATGGTTCAGCATACAATTCAGAACACGGACAACCGCACACAAGGTCGCCTGGCCTTGGTGACGGGAGCAAGGTGATGCTGATTCACTTCTCGAGACACGATACCCACCTTGGCTAACTCATGTTCCAGTGGTGGTATCGGGTCATCAGTTGCACACGCCCTCGCGGCAGAAGGGTGCGATGTTGCGCTGCACTACTCCTCAAGTCAAGTAATTCACAACCCACAACACGGACCCCCTCCCTTCACTTCACAACTCTCAAGTTGCACACAAATAACCAACAACTCTTTCTCTCACGCAGGGTAAAGCCGAGGCACTCGCCCAGGAACTGCGCGCAAAGTACCCTTCACAACTCTTCGTGCCCTTCCAGGCGGACCTCTCATCGCGGGAGTCGACGCGCAACCTGGTGCCCAGCATCTTCGCCAGCAGCGAGGTCACGCAGAAGCACAAGGCCATTTCGATCCTCGTCGCCAACGCCGGGCTCGGGCGCCGGATCCGTGATCCCGCCGACATTGGCGAGGATGACTGGGATGAGATGATGGAGGTCAACGCGCGCAGCCAGTTTGTCGTGACGAAGGCGTGTCTACCGGGGATGAGGGCGCAGGGCTGGGGGCGAGTTGTGCTGGTGGGAAGCATTGCGAGCCGCGGAGGCGGTATCAACGGGTGCCATTATGCTGCGACCAAGGGTGCGCTCTGGTGAGTTGAGTGATCTCATAAGCCTGAGTTGTCGTTGATGAAGGCACTCGGATTCGGACTCTATAAGGCATGAACTGACACAGACACAGCTCCATGGGGCTCAACTTGGCAACGCTCTTGGCGCCAGAGGGAGTCACAGTCAACATTGTAAGTCCGGACACCACACAGCTTTCGTCAGAGGGAACAACTCAACTCATCCTGCAACAGGTTCTGCCCGCGATGATCGGCGCAACAGGCATGATCGCAACCCCCAAATCAACGCAAGTCCTCCTCATTGTTCCTTTCCTCAGCCCTAATCTCGGCAACTGACATGAAGCAGAACCTGGGACAGCAGAGACGACCTCGAGGCTCTGAGAGCCACCGACCCCGGCCTCGCGATCGCGGCAAGCGTCCCAGTCCACCGTCTGGGTGCACCCGAAGAAGTAGCCAACGTCGTCACGATGTAAGTAATCTCCATGCGCCGCGGCCAGATGTCCGAGGATCTCGACTAAATCACCGATGCAGGTTCGCCAAAACGGGATATCTAACCGGGCAGGAAATCCTCCTCACGGGAGGTTTGAAATAATGGCCGGCAGCCAATTGAATTGAACCAAGAGCCGGCATAAGGCAAACATGAATAAAAAAAGATTCAAAAGAAAAACAGTCTTTCTCCATCCATCTATCTTTCCAAGATCCCGTCCAATGAACGGCAGCTGTCAACATACGTGCTCGCATCACCGAACCTTGCCTGCAGGGTTGCGCCATCTCAGTAACCTCCCGCGAGCGATTCTGCTGCCCACGAAGAGCTAGCTCTCGATCGGTAATGCTTACGACCTGTCCCCAATCTTCAGTGTCGGGGGAGGCAGAAAAGGGAGGGGAAGGGTTCAAGCTCTCGGCAGGGTGGGCAGCAAAGCAAGGATGGACGGTGGTTCAAGTACTCCAACGCAAACCTTCATAAACCTTGCCCGTCTCTCAACTGCGTCATGACCTCCTGGCGGTCTCGCCCAACCAACTAACCAAGAAAGACTATCAGACAGTCTTTTGGGCGGCGGCGGCATGTGTCTGTACGGCAGGACGAGTGTGAAAAGGAAACTAGACATTTAAAACCCCAACTATCGCCGATGCAAAGAGCCACATTGCCGCCCCTGTACTATGTCCCTCTGGATTGCCGACGCTCCTTCGTATTCCGCGTCGCCCAATTCCATTCCCCTTTACCTCTCTCCTCCATCTGCGGTCCCCGTCCATTTCCCCCCTTTCATTCTCCACTCTCCAATCCCGCAAAAGAAACAACGGTAACGCTGAAGTAGATCCGCACCCAAGCACTGCAGGTCGGTGCTTGTCTCGCCTTGGCATCGGTCGGATTGCTCCGCGTCTTAGCCCGGTGTCACCTGTTGGTCCCCCTTTGCTTTCACAAGAGAGAGAGAAGCTCGGGCCGAGATAGTATCCCGCCTGTCCCGTTCCCCCAAATCCGATATGTCTGTTGAAGCCGGCCCACGACCATCGCCGGCTCTCGTCGGCCAATCCTCGCAACACCGAGTCTCTCGCACCACGGCAAATGGAAAGGAGAGACGGGTATCGCGGGCCTGCGTGTCCTGTCGGCTCAGGAAGACACGCTGCGACCTGTAAGTCACCCGACCGACCGACCCCGTTCCTGCTTCATGCATAGCCGCGGCGCAACCCCCAGCGCCCAGCCCCCCAAGTCCCCGCCCCCGCCCATGCCGCGTGTTCCAGTCGTATCCCGCAGTGCCGTCGAGCCGATCCATGTCATCGGTCAAAGGCCGCTGACCATCAACAGAGACTACGGCGGGAACCCGGGAATCCCGCCCTGCCGCCGGTGCGTCCGCGAGCAGAAGGAGTGCGTCTTGGCAACATCCCGCCGCGGCGGCCGGCGTCCCCGCAAATGCGTCCGCCTCCCGGACTCGGACTCCACCGGCACGGCCCCGTTCCCCCCGGGGACCACATCCACCTTCGACTCCGTCCCCGCCGAGGGCGCCGCCTCAAGCGAGCAACCAGCAGGCGCCGACCAGAAGTCCTCAGAGACAAATCGTCCATGGTCATGCTCGCCAGAAGCAGAAACCCCGGGCCGCGCCGCAAGCTGGCCCGGCTCCGGGTCCCAGCCAAACAGCCCCGGCGGGCGGTCCCTCCAGAGCGCGGGGGATATCGAGGGACACATCACGTCGAGCGACCTCTTGAACCCGTCCGACGCGTTGAACCTGTTGGCGCAGGTAGCCGATCTGGACGGCGACGGCGGGACGGAGAGGAACCGCAAGCCGAGCGGAAGCACCACGCACGAACATGGAACCCCGCGCGACCACCCCTCCTCGAAGACGCTCGCGACGTATCACTACCCTCCCATCTCAGACGGCGTTCTCTCTCTGTCCGTCGCCTCCCGCCTGCTCGCGACGTACTACGAACACTACCACCCCTTCTTCCCCGTAGCCCACAACTGCATCCTCTCGCCCCCCTCGATCCCCTTCCTCACCGACTCGGAGCCGCACCTCGTCACGGCCATCTTCACCGTCGTCTCCAAGGACGAGCCCTCCCTCTCGGCCGTCCACGAGGCCTGCTCGCGGCACATGGAGACCCTCATCTCCAAGCTCATCTACAAGGGCTCCACGACCGTCGGCGCCGTCGAGGCCCTCCTCATCCTCGCCCAGTGGGCGCCCCAGCGTCTGCAGGAGAAACCCACCGTCGGCCGCGGCGAGGAGGACGAGGGCGCCTGGATGCAGATCGGCGTCGCCATCCGCCTCGGCTACCTCCAGAGCCTCGAGCAGACGGGCCTGCTGGTCGACAAGCAGAGCGCCCTGTCGGAGCAGTTCCGCAGGAAACGACTTGTCTGGGCTGGTATGTTCGCACCCTCTCTCATCGCCCCCCTTTTCCCTGAGATGGCTAACACGTACAGCCTGCTACATGAGTGACCGCGAGGTGTCCATCCGCGTCGGCAAGGGCTTCTGGTCCCGAGGCCCCGGCCCCTCTACGATCCCCCGCTCCGCCGACTTTCCCTCGCTGCGCGTCCAGCAGGCCGGGCCGGATAACCTCGGACAGCTCTTCCAGGCTCAGCTCGAGCTCATCCAGCTGTTTAGCAACGCCCACGATATCCTGTACTCGTCCGCGGGCCACCGGGCGCAGCTGTACCTCGGCGGCGAATATGTCCGCTATATCGTACGTTTTCACTCACCTCCGTGACATATCCCCGGCTAACAAAGACCAGGACGACTCCTTCGCGGTCCTCAGAAAGTGGAAGCTCGTCTGGGGAAGTCTAAGCTGTAACCCCATCCATCCCAAATCTCAAACTCATGAACTTCACACTAACAGGAACCTCTCAGTCACGCCCCTGATCAAAGCCGCCCTCAACCTCTCGTACGAGTTCCTCCGCCTCTACATCAACGCCTTCGCCTTCCAGGCCACAATCAACCGCGCAATCACCCGCGCCCGCCAGCAACAGCAACAACTGCAGCAGCAGTCCCAGACAACAGCAGCAACAGCATCATCATCACAGCCTCAGCAGCAACAACCTCCTCAACAACAGCCACCACCACAACCGCAACCCACCAGCGCAACGACCGCACGCACGACAACGGCGATAAACACCCCCCTCTTCGGCGACCTCGCCAGCACCCCCGACGCCCGCTTCATCTACGAGTCCATGGACGCCGCAAACTCCCTCCTCAACATCCTCAACACCTCCGTCGACCCCGTCACGGGGCTGCGCTACATGCCGCTGAAGTACTACCTCTACGTCATCTACGCGGCCGTCTTCCTATTCAAAGTCTGTCTCCTTCAACATGCCCCCTGATTCTTATCACTGACAACCTCACCAGGCCCGCCTCGCAGGCGCCCTCGGCGCAGAAGCATCCGACTCCGTCCGCCGCTCCATCTCCGTGACGATAACCTGCCTCCAACGCTCCTCCATCTCCCCACACTCCCTCGGCCACCGCTACGCCTCCCTCCTCTCCCTCCTCTGGCGCTCCAAATCCGCATCCTCCTCCACGTCCCCCAAAGCAACAACCTCCACCGCTGCCGCCGCCGCCGGCAACCACCCATCCCAAACAACACCCACCGCCTCCTCCTCCTCGCGTCCAGGCCACCACCCCTCCTCCTCCCACACCGCGCCCTCCCACCACCACACAGCAACATCCATCCTCCCTTCCACAGAACACACCAACCCCTCCCCCTCCTACCACGATCCACATCCATCCATGCTGCTAGGCCACGACCACGCCTCCGGGATGCACCACACTGGCGCCGGCGGCATGGGCATGACCCCGCTGCCCCTGAGCCAGACAGAGCTCCTCTGCCGCGGCTTCTCGTGGCGCGACCTCGACGACCTGGGCCAGTTCATCGGGCCCCCCGCCGACATGGCCTTCGCCGACCCCACGGGCCTCCACGTCGTGGGGAATATCAGTCTTGACGAGGGGGCGGCATATGATGTCCTCTGGCCCGGGAACGACGTCGTGTTCTAGGGCAATTAGGGATAGAAAGGGGAGGGAGGGTAGGAGTTAAGGGGCATGGAAGAGTTCACACTCGGCCGGGAAACGTCGAGACACGGCCGAGTATCCGCATCTCGCAATGTACCTCAATTTAATCGTAATTCAAGAAAACCAAAAGTCTTCACTTACATGAACATCCCATCCGCCCCCAATGCCGTCATCAAACATGCATGAACAAATCCCACCGGCACGCCGGCCCGGAGCCCCCCGGGCCCCGAACCGGCCAAATCCCCCGACCATCGCCGGGCATCACGCACACACACCCTCTCTCTGTGTCTCCGTCATCCTTTGACCCTCACCCTCTTTCACCGTAGAGAAAAGACAACGCCGCAGTACAAATATAGAAACCCGAACTGAACCAACCCCACAAACGCCTAGCTCGCTCGCCCTCCAGCCAGCCCAGAGGGCCCCTCCTTTCACGGACATCCCCGACCAAGAAAACCGCATTCCCCTAAACCGGCCGAACAAAGAACGGGGAAACGGCCACTTACACGTAACGCGTGTTTCTTCCGTCTAGAAACGGTCTAATCCCAGGAACCCGTTCAGTCCCATGTGGCTTTCTTTCCCTTTCCCCTTTCTCCTTTTCATTCCCTCACTCCCTGTCCAGACTCAACTTTTTTGATCCCTTCTGCCCATTTCTCCCTTCCAGATCCGGCCCTCTCCAAAATCGTCCCTTGACCAACGTCATGAGCCGCATGGACCGGATCGGCGGCACCTCACAGACGGCGCCACGCAAAAAGCATTTGCCAAAAAAGATGACTGACCTGTGACACGCGACGCCAGAACGGGACAAGACTCAGTGACACAACAGTCCGGAGACAACAGTCCGAGAAGTCAAAGGTTGTTTTGGGTATTCGAAACATAACCATGATCGACGTATCTTGGAAGACACACAATCATGATGGGGAAAAATATAACGGGCAAACCAACGGCCCCAATAGCTGTACAACTAAAAAAAATGAAACAAATCCCGTCCCCAAAATAATAACAACACCTTCGCTGGCCAGGTCTAAGTTTTTCGTCGTGGGCTTAATCTATGTCTGAAGAAAAAAGATGTGAAAGGGGGACTTTCTCTCTGTCGTCCCGAGGAAGCGAATGCTCCAACCCTACGTGGGCGAGTAATAGTTCTCGCGTCGAACATGATAATGAAAGAAGAAAAGATGTCAATGCCCACCATCGAAAAGAGCATGTGGTATGATGCCCCGATATGCCCACCGCCCGTCCGCCAACCGTTCCTCCTACTCGTACATCTCAAACCAGTAACATATCCCGAACCTGGTTCCCGTCATGAAATCCCACGGAGTGCTGTCATCATACCTCTGCGCCGGCGACCTCTTCGCGGAAACGAATGCCGCCTTCCACCTGGATCGCGCCCTTTACCCATTCGTTCTCTGCAACCTTCTCGAGCGTCCATCTACTCCTGGCGCGCTGGAGCAGGCCTTCGGTGATCTCCATGGCCCCTAGGAGGCCGCGCTCCTTGAACTTGGCCTCGTCGCCTTCGTGGTCGCCGTCTTCTCCGGCGTAATCGATCCAGCGCCACTCCGCGCGGGCGATGCGGTGGCTCGTGCGGCTGCGCATGCGGTGGCCGTCCATGGTGTTGGGGTACGGGTCGAACGGCAGGCGGGCTTCGAGAAGGGCATAGAGCAGAACGCCCAGGGACCAGGCGTCCGTCGCACGGCCGTCGTAGGGCAAACCCATGATGACCTCGGGCGCCGCGTAGTCCTCCGACCCGCAGCGGGTCTCGAGCTTTTCGTCGTCGGCGATGCGCCGGGACAGGCCAAGATCCGTCAGGGTGATGACCGAGTGCGGGTACGTCGTCCAGTCCGTTGAGGGATCCGCCAGCTCGGGTGCTGTCAGGTTGACGAGCACATCTGTGGATTGTCAGTATGGTTTTTGAGTTTGCTGTCACAACCTGGGTCACCCACTCTCGAGCTTGATGTCCCTGTGGACGATCCTGCGCTCATGCAGGTATCTCACGGCGCCCACCAGTTCTGCAAACATCCGCCTCAACAGCGTCGGCTTGAGAACCTGGCGGTGGCCCGTAGCGACATCGAAAAGGTCGCCTCCTGGGCAGTGGCCGAGGACGAGAATGGCGCGGCTGGGCTCAATGTTCCACGCCTTGAGATGTACCAGCGACGGATGGCTGATGCTCTGCATAATCTCCAACTCGCGCTTGAGAGACATCTCGATGCGGTCCTCGCTTGCTCCACCTCTAGGGCCATGCTCGCAAACCTTGACTGCGACTAGGGTCTTTCTGGCCGGTCCCGTTTCTGAAATTGGCGTGAGGCTGTCGGGATGTAACGTATCGTCGTCGTCGTCCATCTGACTCGTCGCCAGCATGACACGGCTGAAGGTGCCCTGGCCCAGGGTCTTGACTGCCCTCCATCTCCTCCTCTTGTTGTCGCGGCGGTCGAAGGCCTCGAAATACTCGGGAATGGCTGTTTTCGGCTTGCTGGTGGAGTCGCTCGAGTCCTTGGAGGACTCGCTCGGCGGTGGGGTCGGCGGCTGGGCGATGGCGGGGGTCAAACCTCTGGACTCTGCGAGGTTAAGCTCGCGGCGCATATGGGGTTCGGTGGCGGACTCCTGGGCTTCGGGCTTGACGTGGGAGCCAGAGACGGTGATGTGCCGCTTCGGTATGTAATTCGGGTCGGGGATGTACTCGCTGATACTGCGGTTGCGTGCGTGCTCCTGCTTGGCGTTGAGAGTCACCTTTGCGCCTGATCCATCGGTGGTTTCTGTGACGAGACCGGCGTAGACCTTGCGTTTTGAAGCGTTGGCGAGGGCGGCTGCTATTGATTCGCCGGTTGCTGAGACCAGCACGGAATCTGGGGTGGGGTTGGGCATATCCCGCGAGGGTGGTCGTGCACCGAGACGCTTCCAAGGGCCCGGGGAGTCTCCTGATAATAAAGGCGAGGGCAACGGGGTGACGTCGCTCATAGCCGATAGAATCGGGCTGGGCAGGCAGGAGCTCGTGGCCGAGGCGGGGCCGAGACTGTGGACAGCCGCCTTAAAGCTGGGGGTTCTCGATACGGGCTTCAGGCTGGAGGACGATGTCTTGTGGGTGAGGCCGGCGCTGGGTCGGCGAGGCGTGGCGTAGACGGAGACGGGGTGGTTGTCGGAGCGGGTAGGCAGGCTCGGGAGCAGGTCGTCGGTCTGGATTCGCAGGTTGTTGTTTGTGACAAGCGGACTCGGGCCGGGTCTGGTGGTTAATGTGGATTGAGGCTCGAGTTGCTGAAAGGAGGACTCGGACAGGGGCGGGGAGGGTGCTATTGTCGTTGTGCGGAACTGGATCTGGGGATGTGTGACGATGTAAGGGAAGGAGATGTCGTTGTTGAAGTCTGCATTGCGGAGGAGTGTATCTGAGGCGACGGGGTCGGAGCTCCCATCAACCTTGTTCTGGTGTTCCGTGTGAATCGGCGGCGGCAAGGACTGGGGTGGACCGTTTGACATGATTATATGCAACGTGTGGACTGGAGGTGGTGGTGGGTACGGTGTGGTGTGCGTTGTGTGTTGGACGCAGACAAGACGGGACGACGGTCGTGCGTGTGTCGTAGGAAGAGTCGAGTCGGCGAGTCGCAGTCGCACGCAGCAGCAGCGGCAGTAGTTGCAGTTGCAGGCGGTCGTGGGGGAAAGGAGGAAGAGGGATAAAGCGCGAGGTTATCAGCTGGATGGATGGGAGGGTGGCGACCGTCTGCGATTCGTAGGCGTGGGACGGTGCTGGGTACGGTAGGTCTGAACGGTGCACCGTGTGTATTCGAACAATACCCAAGACACCCGTATCCTCCCGTCAAGCAGTCGACGTATTCGTAGGCGTTAGGCGTAGGGAGGAGAGACAAGACGGAGGACGGAACGGCGTTAGGTCGAGCCTGGGTGGGTTTAGGTCCAGTTAGGTAGACTAGGTAGCCAACCTAAGGTGAAAAAGTACCTACACGGCGCCCACAGGCCGGGCCAGCGTCAGTTTGAAGGTTCTTTTCTGGTCGGGGTCCGGCCGACCCTTTGGACAGTGGATGGACTGGGACTGGACTGGACTGGCTGGACTGCAAGGTATCTGGACTGCAGTAGTCGTAGACCGTCTGCCTTGAGTCCGATGTGGAAACGGTCCGTCCGTGGGGGTGGTCTTTGGCGTGCGTGGTGTTTGGGGGACTCGAGGGGGGACAGGATGGACAAACTCACTGAAGCAAGAACCTTGGCGCTGGAATAACCTTTCTCGCTGCGTATGACGGATTGACTCGATCCCTTGCAGGGCAGAGAGTAGAAGATAGAGGGAGGGAAAGAGGAAAAGAGGAAAAGAAGAAAGCCCAGGACCCGGAAGGCCACAGTAGGGGAGAGGTGGTTAAGGAATCGAGAGGGAGAGGGAGACCATAAGGAGCAAATAAGGCAGTCTAGTGAGTGGTAGTATTCGGTAAGGCACTGTACCTTAAGGTAAGAAAAAGGAAAGGCGAGGAAACGAGGGGGCTATGACGAGAACACGGGCAACGAAGACGAGGCTCAGGGCGTCAGCAGTCGTAATGGCAGCTGCAGGGCATTGGCAGTGGCAGTGATGGTGACAGTGACAGCGACAGTGGGATTGAGCAGTGGCTGCTGCACTGCGTTCTGCTTCTTCTGTGCCGTGCCTGTGCCTGCAAGAGTGTCTGTCGAAAAGGATCAGGGAGCGAGGGCAGAGAAAAAAAAGAGGGCGAGAGGTGCAGGTGCAGATGCAGGCGTTTGGCGCAGTGCAGGGAGGGCGGCCGAGCGTGGAGGGAACATGGCTGTAGCCAACGAAAGATTTGGAGGAGGACCCTTCGAAACGGAACCTGTTACGGCTTAGCTCCTCGACGGTGCGGCTGCCAGAGTCGTTGTGTCAGCAATTGACGGCCGACCAATCAGCAGCAACACCGACGGCAGACAGTGCTCTTTCTCGACGGAACACGCACACTGTCTGTCCGTCCGCATTGGAGCTCATAACTCATAACACCGACAGCCGTTTGAGTTACCGGCCGCCGAACGGATTCGATTCAATACCACTGCGGATCCGGCCCAAGGTACGGTACCTTACGGATACTCCACAGTCTCGTCGCCTGGCATTCAAGCATCGAGCATCGAGCAATTGGTCTCTTGTTGTTTTTCTTTTCTTTTCTTTTTCCCCCTTCTGCATGATCAACCACTCGGCAATTCAACTGCTGCAAGATTAAGAAGAGATTGCGCCCCTCCAACAGATATCGACATCAATACCAGCAGATGCCTATCACCTATCTGCGGATATAACCTACGCGAATATCCTTCCCGAAACTGACGCACTGCTTACTCGCAGATAACGGAGCCGCTCCCACCCTACCTACTCTAAATAGCCGTACGTACCTTATCTTGCAGCAGCAGCAGCAGCAACAGCAACAGAAGAAGCAAAATGGACGCCTAATTACAGATACTGCTATCGCTAATTGCCCTGAGCTGCACCTCGCCGCGAGGGAGGGGACAAAGAATGGCAGCCCAGATCCACAATTACCCGAACTGGCCAGTGATTCATTCAATTAATCAATCAGCCATCACCACTGGTCAGGTACACATACAAAGAAGAGGACGATCAATGTCCAACATCACGCCAGATATCCCAAGCTTGCAGACAACTTTACAACCACATTTTGCCCCCTACCTGCCCTCTAACACGTCACAAACCTCGTGTGTGCTTCGTGGCCCAGCAGCCCACACACGGAATGGGCGCGCTGGCGTCTACGAGCAAACAGGTGGACGGACGGACGGACAGACGGCCGGTGACGGGTGACAATCTGCGGCGCAGTTCTCGTGAACGGGCCGAGCGGTCCAGTCCAGTCCTTCCAAGGGTCTAGATTCGATTCGCTCTTCTGACTCTCTCAACTCTTCCTCAGTGACGCCTGGGCAACAGAGTAAGGTAAGGTCTGGTAGTACCGCGCCGTATTGTGTGCCGTCTCACAGCATTCTGCAACCCTTTCCATCTGCTGTGCCCTTCCGCCCGGTACCTAATCATCTCCTGTGCTCTCCCTCCTTCCGTCCCTCTCTCCATCCCCAGGCATGCAGTCATTCCACACAGATGGGCAATGCAGAGGCGATGGCAAAGCCGGCCCACGTTGCCTCTGGCCGCGCCGCCCTCTGCCAAGCTCTCCCTCGTGCGTCCCAGTCTACACAAAGACGGGCTGACTTCGTAGGCTTGCCGCGCGTTTTGCTCTTTCATACCACGTCTCGAATTTCTTTCAGCGAGCAAACAAAAGGCCAAAAAGTCGAAACGGAGGGGCTCAGGGCCCAGACCGTTTAAACTCAACGCCTCGCATGAGCCAAAAGATATTGACGGCCCCGTAGGCGAGATTGAATCACCCAAACTATTGACTTCCCACTTCCGGCCACTACCCAGCACAACTTCCCCCGCAACAAGAGAGTCAGTCGTGTCACCAGTCGCACCCGTCACATACCCAGAACCGCAGCCTGAGCCTGAGCACAGCAGCGATGCAATGCCCGTAACCGTAGCCCCCCCTTCGATGCCCCAAGGTGATGTGCCCCTCGGATATTACGTTACAGTGCATCCAGGTGGGAGCGAAGCCTGCGCGACAGCCCGTGACAGGCACCACCTCAGCAAAGTGGACGTCCACGGTGGGGAGACCCGTCCACAACCTTGACAAACCACCTGCTCTGCAAGGTATCTAATTGAGATTCAACCCAGCCCGTACCGCGCCCGCCTCGGGCTGTCCAACGCTCAAATGCCATAGGGCCAGCCCGACGCTGTAAAGGGCCCCGGAGCGGACGACTTAAGATTGCCCAGCGCTGCCGCCGCTCCCCTTTAAACCCCTTTGGGCTTCCCGGCTGAGGAACTGTTCCCACCTTCAAATTGTGCTGGATCCAGCGTCCCGTTGTTTAATTCTCCATTATTGCCAGGTTACACCGGCTGACTGGTTGGGCCTGGACTGCGCGTTCCCCCGTCCCGCTGTGCCCGTCCGGCCCCTGTCTGTTGGTCTCGTCCGTCGCCCTTCTTCTTAACAGCTGACCTCGAAGCGAGGACGACGAGACCGTCTTTCCCCGAGTCTGGCACTGTGCTCCGTTCCAAACGTTCGCCGTGGGCTCCTCGAGACTCCAAGCTTCGTTTTCAACCTGCCAGCGCATCTAAGCTGTTAGCACCGAGCAGTTTGCGTCTGCACCTACCGGCGTCTGACATTCCCATGTGCATGCATTCGGCCATTAGATAGGCCTGCCATTGGCACTCCCAATCAAAGACGCACCCTTTCTTGTTACCCCAATCCAGGCCGCCAACGGTTCGTCATTCTGGGCCAGCCGCATGGAATTGAGTTCAGCCAGCTCCCACTGGGGCTCATGTTTTGAGACCATCGTCATCGCCATTGCTCTTAGTGATGCACCAAGCATGCGCGTTCTCATTAATCTCCTCGTTGGAGTCTGCGCGGGACAAGGCGGGACTGTTCCAGTGCGCTACCCAGTTGCTGGTGTCGCGCTGCTATTGGTGTTGGGCCGCCGCAACATGAACTGTCTCGGAAGACATGAGCCTTCCTCCAACTGACCCGATACATTCGGATATCTTAAGCAAGACAGTCTCCTCGTCCTGGTCCTTCCCACGCACTTGGCACTGCTGGAACACATCCAACGCAAGCGTTCGACGATGCCAGCGGCATGTCGCGTGGCAGCCTCCCTCTTCGCGCGTGACAGTCCAACAACCAACGTTCGCGCCCGAGTCATTCGCCGCGGCCGCCGTTGATCGTTGCCGGTGCTTCCTTGTTTTTGTCCCGCCTCCAACGGTCTAAATGACGGATGAGAAAGAGTCAGGTCTCTGCAGGACCACGAGACCGACCTCGGTCAAACAGGGCAATCTCCCTTGATGCCGGTGAGAGTGGATGAGCTGCACGATCGATCACTGCACAGCTATCATGCGATGATCTTATCTCTGCTTCGGCGTTGCAATACCGGCCATTTCCCGGCAGGAATGGCAACACCGTCCGTTGACGCAGGGGGGACGGAGTCCAGCTGGACCTCCGTTTCGTGGCCGGCAAAACGGCTAAAGCCCGAGAACACCAGAAAATGTCGCTTGGCCGCACAACGTACGCCTCAATCAGCACAGCATGGAGGGGACGCACCCCGGAGCACGTAAATACTTCGAATTGGACGCGGTCCAGAGTCCGTCAGCTTCCTCGTCTCCAGACATTCAATCTGAATCGTCTCCGCCCGCCACTCAGATCGTCTTGCCATGTCCGTCCCTCCACGTTCGCCAGGGACGGCGTCGATTGGCTGCATGCACCCACGATGGCCCGGTGGTGCGACCTATTGGTGCATTCGGATTCCGTAACCCCAAGCCCAACGCGCCAATGCCGCGACTAGAGACCAACGCTTTGGGAAGTGTTGGTGCAATGGTTTGTCAGACAAGGAGCCTGGCGATGCGTCAATGTGCGTCTACCGGCGTAAAAGTTGCGCATAATGACGTCTTGGAGCCGTGTGCTCGTCTTTGCTGCATCCACCAGCATCAAGATCGACGTGTGTGAGGCGGAGACTTGGCACTGATTTTTTCTGCTCTCCCGGTATTTCCGTGCCCATGGCCGAGTCCTAGGAGTCCGAGGGACGCCGAAGCCGGTGGGCAAGACGATGCCTCCGGGGCGAAAAATGGGCACACGGCGCCGAGACCCCGGAGCCGGCAGACCTCGACCGGTGCCCGAGGGGTGCGTCATTTTCGATCTCGGGGTACAGGGCCGGTCTGGCGACCTCATGCTCGACACGTAGGCTTGTAGGCAGCGGGAATGGGGACCTTGAGGCAGCAGTCAATGGCGTTGTGCTGACAGTGTGCAGAAGCGGAGGGACCCCTCAGTGGCGTCCAGTCTCGTGCCTATCTATCGGATCAGCAATGCAAAACTGAGTCCGCGGATTCGTTGACCGACGTCTTTGTGTAGGCTGCCATTATTCTTCAAAATATCTTGCCTGTTGGGGCAAGTTTTCTTCATTTGTGAATCAGTGGAGTTGGACGTACGTGGTCTCGTCGTGTTGCGTGTCAGAAATAGGCAGCCTCGTTACGGTTGGAAGAGATAAAGTGTTTTTTGTTCTTATCTTTTTTTTCTGTACAATAGTTTGACAGAGTGGTATCTTGGTTGCGCTTGCCGATGTTAAATCCTGCAATTACACGCTCCTTCCTGCCCTTTCTGCTTCTTTCCTCGTATTGCTCCTTCTCAATGCTGGGTGCGAGAGGCGGAAGGCGCCTTCCTACGCTCCTTCCATGACGTTCCTACAGGAAAATTTGCACTACCATCGCGCTTTCTGCCTTGGACTTGAAGAATCTTCAAGCAAGAATTTCACCTGCTGTGCCTTCATTTATCTTCCTCGAGCATCCAGAGCTGGCCCAGTAGCCGCTCTTGGACTTGCTTCGCTTGGACAGTCTCGCCTCCTCGACAAAGGGATCACCGTTCGAACGCTGTGTTCAAGCGACGTCTCCAACGATCAATCGTCTTTCGGAGCCCTTCCACCCACTGCGTCGACATGCAAAGTCCGCCTTCGAAATTTGCGCATTTCTCAATCCCAACAGCCTTCCGACCTGATGCTTCCCGCGAGTCAAGGCCGAGAGAACCACTAATTGCCGGGATATTTTGAAATCTTTCTGGCACCGGAATCGAGCGTCTTTGCCTTCCGTCTCTTCTTAAGGGGCATTTTCAAGCGCCGCGAGCATTAGTGTCGGGACGCAAGCACCAACGCGTCGACGCATCTTGACTGCTTTTCCGACTTGTCGCCGACACGAAGCCCCGGTGTCTCCAGGAGCGGCAGAAAGCAAAAGGATCAAACGGAGCCGTCGACTTGGTGTTTTGATATCATCACAAACAACCTATTGATGGGTCGTTTCACCGCACCCCGCCTGCCTGTGCGTATAGATATTCGACCTCCGGATCGATTAGGTGGCTCTCGATTCGGGGAGAGTATTCGGTCGATATTACGGCGGGAGACTCGGGCTGGGAAGTGTTTGCCCACTCCAACGCGCCACTAGGATAAGCAGCAAAAGAAGCTGGTGATTGCTTGTCCCAGGTGAACGGCGCCAAATCAGACCACACTTCAGGCTCGTCTTCGATATCGTCACACTTCCACAGCCATTCCGGCAGGGCATCGAGTTCGATGGAAACGTCGTCGCTATCGTTGTCATAATCGTCGGAGAACCCCTTTTCCAAAAACGCTGATTTCTCTGCAAACTTGGCAACACGGTCCATTCGGTATTGGTGCACTCGGTTGGCCATGGTCGTTTTGTCCATCTTCTGGAATGACGCCTCCAAATTTGACAGCGCCAGGTCGCAGATCCGCTCGTCTCCGTCCGATGTCAGGGCAACGCGTGCCGCCGACTTGAAGGACGCGATGGCAGCCACGTCGTTGTTCATGTTATAATATTTGACGCCCAGAGTGAGGTGGAGCGACGCTTCTTGGTCGTTGGCCATACTGTACGCGTTCATGTGCGCCGTCAGTACCGCAATCGCTTCGTCCGGGCGCCCCTGGTTCTCTTTGCAGGTTGCGAGTAGGCCTGCGTGTGAGAGGGCCATGTCTTCAAGCCAGAGGTGTTCCCGCCCTGACCTTTGACTCCGAGATATGTGGCTGCTAATCACCGACTCGCAGTGTTCCGCAGTCCTCCTACCATGCATACAGTCGAGATAGTCGCAGTACAGAAGGAACGTCAAGTAGTTGGCTGACCCAACGCGACCTTCGATCTCGGGAACCAACAATTCATACAACCTCATGGAAAGCTCGTAGTATGACGAGAATTCGGTCATTGCCAGCCTCCGCCAGATGTGCGCGAGAATATGATGCGGTCCCAACACAATCGGCATCAGATCTGCGAGGTAATGGAGGACCAGTCGTAGGAGATCATGCTTGTAGTGTCGCTCCAGATACCAAAGCAGAGAAATGGTCCTCGCAACGAAATTCGGGGTTTCGGAGCTCACAAGCCTCTTCAGCGTGTCGAATGCCGGGCCGAGGACGCGGTTGATATCGATATGATCACCGCATCTCATGCAGCGGTTGACCAGAGCGAAGCTCGCAACAACCCTTTCGAACAACTCGTTGCTTTCGTCGCTTTGCAGGGTCTGCGGGGCGCGAATGCTCGAACACTCCACGTCGTACTCGCACCACCAGGTACCGGATGAGAAGGAGCCGTCGATATAGTCCCGGAACAGATACAGCACCTGCTCTGTGCTTTGCATTTCTGTCGTCGGGGCCAGGGCTCTGAGGGGACTCGGGGGCGGTGAAGGTGTTCGGCAAGTAACTTCGAGGGCTGTCTGGACGCTGGGCGTCTGCCCAGCTCTGAACTTGGCCATCAAACCCGGATTACGTTTAAGGTACCGCTGGATATTCTCCATGTCGACGAGCTGCCCGCGTATCCTGAACTCTGTTGGTCGCTTTAGAGCCTCGCGGTCACGTTGCAGCAGCATGATGGCCAACACTTCATCTCCCTTCAGCTTCTTGTCGAGACCCCATTTCCAAATTCTGGACTTGTACATCTTGACACTATACACACCGTAAGCAAGGCTCACAAGCTGGAATGAGTGTACAACTTACGTTGCGGTGAAATGGTAGTCTCGCTCCATGATTTCCATCACCTCCTTCAACGACTTCTTCTCTTCCTGGTACAGCCGCGTTATGATTGGGCGCTTGGTCTCCCAGATCTCAGCGGGAACGCGCTTGCGCGGCTTTGCTGACTTCCCAGGACTTGTCATCTCGTCAGCCTCGGAATCGGTAGACGCTTTCCTCTTCGCCGGCACGGGGCCGTTGGGAGCTTTCACTGCTGATGTTTTCATAATGTTTAGGAGCCGGGACGGCGACAAATCCACAAATTAACGCGCCAGACGAAGGCACAGGATGCTCAAGCTGTTCTCTATCAAAGGCCGTCAAGTAGCAATCGCCACGGAATGTTGTCTCAACGGAACGCGGGGAAGCGGTTGGATGAGTTTTTGAAGCAAGAACAAAAAGGGGATATGCCAGCGAGAAGACAAACCGCTAAGCCCGGCAAGGCTCCATTCGTCGCCCCCATCCAGCATGGCCGGGCTGGTGGTGTCCGTTATTGGACCCAATTGCACCCCTCTCCCAGCGGCAGCAGTCACCCCCTGCAGAGTGACACTCGCTGCTCTGCAAAGAGACCTTGCATTTCGTCCCCATCGTTGCCAGCGGACGACCGCACCTACCCGCCGAAGCGCTCCCGACTCCCACTCCCCCAAGAAGTGTTACTCGCCATTCGCCAAGTCCTTCACCACCAACAGGGGGGTGCGTCTTCGTCGGTGGGGACGGTGTAGGGTTCGCAGGGCAGGGGGACAACAGGGAGCAGCGGGCGATCAATCACCGTCAGATGGCAGTGTGCGTGTGTGGCTGTTCAACAATTGGCAGGTGGAGGGTGGTGACGACGGTTGACCGTTGAAGCTCGTCGTACCATTGTGTTGCTGACCAGCTGCAGCTGGGCTGCAGGAGCCCAGCCTAATTCGGAGACGTCCTGTTGGAATCACTCTCAGGATGCAAGGATGCGGGAAAAGATGCAGCCAACTCGATGGAAGCGGTTCTTGCCTCTGCCACAGCCCTCCAGATCAACAACCGCTGCGCACCGCTCACAACCAAGATGCCTAACCCCGACGGTTCGATTCCAAATGAGTTCTCCGGTTCGGATTTGCCCCGGAATTAGGACGGTAGATGCCGTTGCACCTCTACAACATTGTCTCAATTTGAGAATGCTGCTGCCTCACGGGAAGGTCGACAGAAGTCAGGGTTTGGATGGAGAAAATCAAGCTATCCTCCTTACCCGACGACGGAGGTGTGGAGAGGCGGGTGTCATCTAAGCGCAGGTCAGTGCTTCTGGACCTCGCCTGCGGCCTGGCTGCCCTGTCACCCTAGGTCAGCACCCTAACGAAGCGGATGTTAGGACGACTAATCCGCTTGCTCGATGGAGCAGAGACGTCAACCAGCTCGCTATCCCGTTTTGAACATGCAGAGATGGGGACCACCAGACAGCATGTGGTTTGGAACCAATGGTGCTGCCTTCGCCTAACCTCAATGCTGATTGGTCCTTAATACGGGTTGCTTCGATCGTCGAAGAGTGGAATGCAACCGTTGACCAGCGGCCGCAGAGCCCCAGGAAGTTCCACCTGCAACGGGGCCTGCTTATTGCTCCATCTGAAGCGCGCTCAATCCTCTGCAAAGCCGGTCAGTCGGGTCAAATCGCCTGTCGTCCCGTCCGTCCTGCCCCCGGCCTTGTCACCGGCCTAAGGCCTGGCTCCCAATGACCTCAGGAGCCTGGTTCACGGCTCCCACTTTTGGTCCGTATCCCGATGCCCATCTCTTGGGCTAGCTGCCAAGTGGACAAGACAGTATGCGAGGGCGGCCGCTCATAGCGCAAGATCTCCAGACGCAGCATAGCGACAAGGATGATATCCTCAGAGAGTCCTAGACCAAGGCCTGAGGAGATCTGGAATCGAGCATGCGCAAGACCTGCCAACCCAAATCCTCCCTACGGCTCCCCTGGTTCCTAAATTCCTAACCAACAGATGATTCATAGTGACTTTCTCCTCCGTACGCCGAATGCGCAGCAATATCCGCGAAGCCTCGATGCGTCTCCCTGCGTTATGCCGCCCGGAGACCGTTCAGAAAAACCGGCCCCCGCCTCCCCACCAGGCCTGGCTCCCGCGCTGATTAAACCAACGCAGAGCCTGAAGGCCCCCAGTCAAGGGGTGGATCTTGCAACTGTACATTGCATGGACCACGGCGCCAGAAAGGGTTACAAGATTCCGTGGCCCTGGTTCATGGGCAGTCGATGTCCGGTACAGGGTGATCCTTCAGCTCCTAAGATGAGGCCAAACAGGAACACCCAGCGGAAGAGAAGTGCAAAACCGGACGACGATGTACGGCCCGCAACAAGAGTTCTACGTTCCGGCGTCAAACCTGCTGCCTGTTGCGGTTGTCGATTGACCTGAAGCCAGCCCCGGCATTTGTGGCCGATTATTTCCAGGCTGCAGAATTCTTGTTCCGCGGCAATTTCTCTGAGGACCACCGTTTCAATGCTGCCTGGAGTGAGCTAGTCGCCATGCATCTTGCATGCCTCGCTTCCATGGGTTCCATCGCGGTTAGCACACCAATCTCTCATCAACTGCACACTGGCGCTGGAGCGGCCGCCGCACTCAGCCAATGTTCGGTTGCACCAACAATCGGCACGTTGTTTGCGCCCCCAAACCAACAGAACAGACAGCCAACAACAGGCAGAACGCCTACCAAGAACGAGAAAGCCCGCCCCGAGATGTTATTCCATGCTATCTGCGCGCAAACATGAGCATCGCAATCAAAGAGCGCCCGACATATTGCGAAAGCGATGAAGCGCCGCAGGTGAGCTGCGGCATCAAACGGCGAAAGACGCCTCGTGGCCATCCGCAGATGGCAAAACCTGCCCATATGACTTGATATTCGTCATTCCACGTTGCTACGCCGCTGATAGTGACTCCCCGATTTCAAATCGGCGCCGGTAGGATCACGGCCGAATTGGCCGTTGCCGCGTGCGAAACAGGCCGCAACCATCACCGTCCAGCCATCCTCAGGTTTGCACGCAGGCTTTGGATTGGGTGGCTCCTCTCAGCCCTACGCTCAAGTAGGGCACGCTTCATGCCATGATGCGGCGTAGAGGAGAAAGTCCCTTTTTCTCTCCGTATTACTCAAATCCCGGGGTTACAATGATCTCTGGCTTTATCAGTCCCTCTCAGGCCATTGGGTCACATTGCCATCACTCAGCATTACAACGGGCGTTTCCTTTGGCCAGTGTCGAATTGAGGCCATTCAGAATCGTATTGGTCGGGCTTTGATCAGACAGATGACCTTGGAGCAAACCACATTAGGGGATCCGGCATGGTCCAGCCAATTACCCACATCGAAGGGGAATCCTAGCTCGCTAAGTGTTGGTACTCCCGGAACTACCAGGCACATGACTTGTCACGACGGGACTTTGGTTTACACGCATGGGCAGTCATGGCTGTGACCGCACACCTTGAATATGCTCTGCCGCAGCCTAGTGGCTTTGCTATCCCTCCCTTTCACAACTCTGCTGCTCTTTTCTTCCTCGAAATGTGCTTGACTTCAAAACACAAGCAAGAATAGCCCCAAAAGTTCTTCCTGGAAGGAATGACGCTGGTTCTAGAAACGGGTCCATCAGGCAGATTATACCCATCAAGAGACATCCCTTCCTAGTATATTGCCTGCCTGACAAGGGTGTGGGAGGTTGAACTTTGACCACAAGGCCAGGAACTCTCTGCCTAGTTTTCGGCAAGGCGTGTTTCGAGACTGTTGAGTTGCTATGACAGCTTCGCCCAGGAAGGCTGGTTCTTCGACTTCCCAAAGTCCCTTTCCTTCAATCTATTCTCGTCTTGTATCTTAAGACGGGCAGAACTCTGTCTTCTCTCCCTCATCATCTTGGAGATATAAACCCTCGGACGAGGCGACCTTCATGATGAGCCAGCAAAGTCAACAACCTCTCAAGAACTCCATGAGCTCATCGCCATCTCCAGCAACCATTCCGTCCGTCCACAGTCAACAAGCATCCAGCGACCTCTTGCGCAAACTCCAAGAAACCACCGTGAGTCGAAACTGCTCCGTCCTTCGCCCCACTGGCTCTTACATCGACTTTACAGATTGCCGCTCTCAGAACCTCAAGCAACAAGATGGATTCCAACTACGGTGGCAGCTCCAAGGGCACCTCTCCCGATACCAAAGGCAAGGGCCAAGAGCAGAGAGCCGTGTTCGACGGACTTTTCCCCCGGATAGAGACCAGAGGCCAGAGCAAGGTCTCTTCGAAGAATGGCAGTGGCAGGAAGAAGGAGGGCAAGAGCTCACAGTGAGTTTTCTTGGTCCTTGCTCGGGGCCTAGCGTTGACGTCTTGAATCACAGCTAGGAAGTTACTCGACCTCAGGGAGCCGAACACCACCACATGAGGATCTGATATGAGTTGGGAAGACGCCACGGTACATGCCATGTCACCAGAATGGCTCGAACATGGCCGAAGCCTCGCGATATGCGCCCTCGTGCTACGCTACGGACCGAAAATATGCCTACCGCTACAGATCCCGTACGACCTGACGAGCTAGAGAATATCAAAAGGGAAAATGTTCGGGAAATGGCCGCGACTCGGCCGACCTTCATCTAGCGAGTGTCAGTCATCCTTGACAGAGCTTCGAATGGGGTGTTGCGTACCATGGCATGTGGGTGCATTGTGGAACGGTCTCAAGTGAGATGGAGGTTTCCAGGGTTTATGGCGGGAATGGTTCGGTGTTCTTTGGCGACGCCCGCGATTGATGTGACTCGACAGAACCGCGGGTGTCTTTGGCGTTGCCTACCGGGATTTAGACATTGGGATATTCGCATATGATTTTACAGGGTTTATTTGAATCTTTGCTCTCTTTTTTTTTCGCATCTGCGTTGCCGGAATTTAGCATTTTTAGACGAGTCTGAGCTGTCGCTGACAGTCGGGTTGGAAATATGCACATTTGCAGCGATCGCATCACTTTTTGCCGTACCCTTACATGCATCCATGATACAAAAAGAGCGGAAGGGAGAGCATTTACCGATTTCGGTAAACAATGTGGATGCAGGTCAAGTATCCATGCCGAAGGGGCCAGGCAATGACCGGCAAGGCCCACGAACCAAGTGGCCATCATCGTGGCAACCTGGCGGCAAAGGCTCCTCTGGCATCTAGACGCATCGACGGGATGGCGTTTACGGCGTGAAACGACGTCGGTGAGGATTTCAACTGTCTCAACAGCTCGGTGAGAGGCAAATAATTTGGGACTTTTGTTCTTCTGTAATGCTGACCAGCCCTCGAGGCAGCAGATTCGCAGGCTTATCGGATAAAAACACCCGCCAAACACTCGGGAGGAAATCAGCCATCAAGTCCAGGTACCCATGCCAGCCATTGCGCAGGGTTTGGTCATTAAGGAGCTTGACAAGTTTCCAGGTTGTCGGAATGACACACGCGGCACGCACGCAGACATCAAACTTGGCAGGATGGTCTGAGAAGGCCGGCCGTGGTCCTCTCACCATGGAGAGAGGAAGAGAGAAAGAGAGAGTCAACAACGAATTTCCCCTTGTCGAGCGATGGAGACGCCATGGGGTCCCGCAAGAGCCATGACCCCACGCTTAATCGCGTACCTCGAATGGCAGTCCAGGAAGGGAATAGCCTCGTGTCGGCCGCTCTGTGGAGCATTTTTCATAGTGCGAGGGGCCCACAGCATTTGAATCGGGGTCGTGCGAGCAAGCGACCAGAATGCAACGTTCCAGGTTCATCTGTTTGATGCCTGAAGACGGGGAGCGGGGTGGTGGTGCTGTTCGACAGCATCGATGGCCGTACGTACGTATCGTGAGAGCAAAAGGGGGGGGCCTCCGGTATGTTAATGCCGGCCCGGTTCGGATGTTAAACAAACCACGCGAATTGGGAGCACAGGTAACGCGACAGCAGCAGCCGCCCACTTCCCCATCAGCTATGCTAGGAACAGCGGCCTGGTTTTCGTCCTCTCTTACCTCCTGACGACGGAGACTGCTCCGAAGTCACTCGTGGGCATCCGGCCGCGGCATTGCGGCACAGCAACGGCCAGCCATGCAGGCATGACATCTCCTACATCTCCTTACGGAAACTCGTGCTTCTGACTTGATGCACATACGCACACACACGCACACAAAACGCTCTGGGAAGGAGCTTGGCCCCCAACGTCCGCCGGGCTAGCGCGAACATCCCATCAATCAGACTTCACTCTAGAGCTCAACACCCCGGTACCCGGACGCTTAGACTCCCGCGTCGTGGCTGCTGCCAGCGGGCGGCGGAGATGGAGTGACGCACGAACCACCGCTCTCTTTGAGGACCAGGACTGCGAACGACCGGGGTTGCGTCCTTGACGGCAGGTGATTGGGACGCCTCCGAAGGAACCCGATGCCTCTTTTCCTTCCCGCTGCCCTGGGACGACCAAAGGGCTGAGAGGGAGTCTGCCGGCAGGATCCAAGGCAAGATCCTACAGAAGGATTCTGTATGCTTCGACGCCTTTGGGACTTTGGAGCCCCCCTTCTAGAGTGAGGTATTCTGTTGTCCTGCTCAGCGCGAGGATTCGATTCCTTCCTCACCGCGGAGGGCTGGGAAGGTGTGGAATCGTGTGTGGGAGGTGAGGGATTCGGCTACGGCCGCAAAGATGGGTAAGGTACCCCAGACCCTGGCGGTGCTGGATGTTTGTTTTCCTCTTGGCTGATTTGCTGAGCCGTCAACTTCTTGTTAATCACCTTCTCCATTCTCTCTTCGGTACATGGTCTTCAACGGCTGGAGTCACTTATTCAGCGGATAAAGCAGCGCATCAACTCCCTGCGAATGACAACGAAAGACCAAGGATGTCCAAGGCCAGCGTCGGTTTGATGGGTCAGTTTCATGCAGCTCGGGATCTTGCTCTGCCAACTTGGCCATGTCGATCTCCAATCAGGGACAGATGCAACGACGTCCAAGATACGACGGAATCCCTGCCTTTGCGTTCCCAGTCTCTGAAGTCTTGAACCCGTTTCGACCTCGCGGCGTTCGGCCGAGGGGAGGGGTCCTGCTTCCAAATCCCTGACTACAAAGTGGAATGGCAACATTCTGACCCCGGCGAGGTACGGACGACCTCTTGCGGAGTCTGACAAACCCAAGCACACGGCAACGCCTTCCTTCAATGGGGCCCGTCTTATATGGGTCACGAACCAAGAAGCTCGCCATCGTGGAGACTTCCAAGACCAGCGGCTACTTAACGAGCCCCTAGGCTTCCGAATAACCTCTCAAAGCCCGCCAAAGGATGCACATGTTTTAGCCGGGGGACGCCGTCAGGAGGATTCACGGCGATGGCTCGGACCAGAGGCTATTCAGACGTCAACAATGATGCTCCGTCTTTGGCTACTCATTGGACCTCTCACCATACGTGTTAATTTGACTGCCTACAGCCACAAAGCTCGGCGGAGATGGCCGCAGGATGGACTTTGGTCGCGCACCTCTTGCCTTTCTTCAAATCCGGCTCCCTCCCTCTCGTTGGGGAAAATCAGGCAGCAGACATGTGCATGTGTGTGGTGTGTCGAGCTTATTCCACGATCGCAATATACGACTGCCTTACAAGGCCAGCGGCAAGGCAAGGCAAGCAAGCCTACGGCAACGCACGATGCAAGAGCACAACGCCCTTCCCGTCCCGCAGGTTCCTGGATCATTCTTCCCGGTGGCCGGGAGCCAGGCAGCGTGATGGGACTTTGGTGTTTCTAAGTTAGCTGCTATCGTCGCTCACCATCCCGTCGGTTTCCACGGAGCATTCCACTGCTTATCTCCCACGGAGAAGTCGGGACCAGCAGCAACAAGGTGATCGTGACGTTGAACGGGGTTCCGCGGGCGTATGCCCTTTTTCCCGCTTTAACTCCAAGCTCCGCCGTTGCATGCCCACCCCCCCTCCTCCTCCCCGTCCCCGCGCGCCCCTGAATTCAGGTGGATGGTGCTAGGCAGCACCAAACGGCCGGTTTCTGGGAGATGACGAGCGGCCAGGCGATCCCGTGTCCCCCCTCCCCTGGGGTTCGGGAGAGCTTGCTTTTTGGTGCGGTCTGGTGCGGCCAGCATGTGCTGGTCTTTGTGTTGCTCATCGCCGGGTCGGCTCGTGGTGAACCTTTTGGCGATTGTAGGTATGGCCGTGAGTGTTGACTGGTGCTGGGGAAAGTGGGAAGAGTTTTTGAGGTGTGGGTTTTGGAAATGGGACTTTGGTTCGCCTCGGTCTGGAGCCTATGTAGTGGGGTGATGGGCAGAGTTTAGTCTTGCGGGCGATGTGGGAGATGCGTCAATGTGTGCGTTTGAAGGTTGAATGTGTTTCTCGACGAGTTTGCGTTCTGCTCGTGTTATCGTGTCATTTCATCTTGGATCTTCTTGAATTTCAGTCGACATGCATGCTGCAGCTGCCCTCGTCTCGAGCGCGGAGGCTATATAGGTATCATGAGGCCATTTGTTCGCTCTGCGAACAATGTGACTCGTTGCCCGGCACAGAATGCAGTGTCCCACTAGTTCTAGGGTCAAGAGACATCCGGTTCAAGAATACGGACGTGTCACTCTTCAACTTTGCCCATCAGCACGAACCCCTCTGACGCCGACCTCGACGATGATTCTAGCCGAATAACTGCCTACGAACGACGAAAAGGGGCCCCGAAGCCTGCTTGCCGAGAAACCTTTGCCATCTATTTCGAACCCATACGGAATCTGGGAAGACTTGTCAGGAGGAGACCTCTGAGCTGCTCGGAGTCAGGGGGATCGCTCGAAAATACATTTGCCGTCTTGGATGTTTTTAACGAGGTCAAAGAGGTTTTTAAAGCTGGCCATCTGCGGACCACGTACGCTCTCTGCATCTACCGATCGAGACCTCTGCCAGTCGCCTCTCTCGAGGGGTTCGATGATGCCGAGGGGACATATAAGGAGGCTAGGGTCTGCTGTAATCAGAATACCGACTCCCAGAGCGAATGGAATGGTGTTTTCCACAGAGAAAGTGGTACCGGATCTCTGAGCTTTGTCTCTGGAAAGTACATCAGCTGCGGCGGTCTTCCTACACGAGCCGCGTTAGGCAGTCGACCTAGATCAATCGTGTGGCCATCTCCGTTCATTCTCAAGTATTCTGCCAGAAACAACGTCCAGCGACGACCGATACCACAGCATAAAAGACTCACGCAGATGATACTAGGCCTGTAGACATCATCCTCGCAGTAACGCGATCGCGTCAGAGGGAACTTGGCAGCTATGGACCTGCGGATTCTCCTTCGCCAGGACCGACATCATTGATAAGATTTTCTATCTTGTTTCGCATCCGATTCGCATCCGAATGGCCTTTATACTGCTTCAGTAGAGATGTTTCGATATCAAGGGGAGCTAGT